GTAATTTGGGTGTGACCAAACTGGAAAGGAAAAGAGCTTCTGGCGTGACCACGTAGCTCGGGTGGTAGAACGTCCGTCCCACAGAGGTTTAGGCGGCATCTTTATATGGGTTCGAGTTTCATTGAGGGTCCTGAACATTTCACAAATGAAACAGGGGTAAATTTCGCTCGATTACCTACCGGAGCATACATGCATACCACTAAAGGTCTCGTCCGAATATGTGAGCAACAGAATGTATTCCACGGGTAAGTAATGATCCCGTGAAACATCTATTGCCCGACAGAATGGAACAACGTGCATTTCACTGAAACTGACTGATTTCCAATGAGGAAGTGGCAAATTCTTACCACACTAACCGAAAGACTCTCTTTGTAATTTTCTTCTTATTCCACACTATTGTGTAATGAACAGTAGGACAGGCAAACTCCATCGTTAGCAGGATCTACCGTTGCTCACTCATGGGAATCGGGAATGAAAGTCTCGGAACGCGAAGTGGCGAACCACAGAAGGGCCCACTAGCATAGGCGTGGTGTTGAATCGGACGACAGCGATTATGTCTACATGAGCCAGAGCGTAATGCAATTGTGAAAACGTGACGAGGATCATGCATGTGTTGTACAAAATATACTTCTATATTGCGGTTACAAAAGTATCGACCTCCGAATAGGAACAGGCAATACAATCTTTACAAGCAAGGACGGTAAAAACAAAACAGGACGAATCCATATCTGAGGGGAAATGATGCGGCAGAATGCGAAAATCTCCATTATTTCGTACCAAATGAAAGGGAGAAAGAAATCGATCGAAACTGGTAACGTAGAGACACAAAAAAGAGATAAAGATTTAAACAGTGGACTGGTGCACATTAGTCACGTGGTGGGAGCATAAAATGGAGGCGGAATGTGGGAAAAGTGATGCGTCATCAACGTGGCAAAAAATTTAAAAAAAAAGCTGGAATGCGTCTCGTATACTCGGACGCGGTACGTGAAATCTAAGACGCAAGCAACGAAAGAAGCGATAGGAAAACCAAACTCACATACAACGCACATGAACCGCATCGAAAACAAAATGAACGGCCGATAAAGAGCAGTCGGGTAAAGAGATTGGTACCCAAGCGTGGAGAGACGAAGAAAAAGAGGAAGAAACAGATCTGTAGGACCAGGATTTTCTGAAACCAGCAAATAGGCGAGCATAGGCTGCTTCTGAACTGACAGTCGGAACACAATGGGTTCGTATGTGTTACCGCTAGACAAGTTCTCGTCTCCTTTTGGTTGGCACCGCAAAATCAACCAAACTAACACCATATGTGAGTAGATGAATGGACAGGATAGAAGGGAGAAAATAACCGAAGATGATATAATATGAGAGATCCCATGAGGTGTTTCATCGGAGAAGTGATAGCAAGTGATAACAAACTGCGATTCCCTTCAAGATGAATAAACGCCATATTGACCATTGTGGTTAGTCTTGCAGTTTATCCGAGTACATGTGGACTGTTCGTTCAATGCAATCCATCTTGTCCGGTGTATGACAGGATACTTGAAATAAGTCGCCAGTTAGAGGATGGACGAAAAATATCCTGGACAGAGATTCATTTGTTTTTAGCAGATCAGTTGGTGGTATACAACAACGTGTATCATAAACGACACCACACACACACACACATGGACGCGCGAAACGCGCAACAGAGATGACTAGGGGAACACCGTGAATGTATTTTTTCTGGAATGAATGATGAGTAATATCAAAGGAGTCGGTTATTTGGAAAAAATAAAGTTGCAATCCAAGTAAATAAATGATTGGTTATGCAAGAAAGTTTGTGACCGCAAAGTGAAAGAACCAAGTCAGAGAAATATGGACGGATTGTGGAATATGGAATCGTTCGTAAATACTGACGGAAACACAGACGAACACGCATACACACACACATACACGCGCACACACACCAACGTGGAAGTTAGATTGTATTTGTCAATACGGCGGTAATGCAGACAATGCGTTGAAAGGCGGCAGCTCACTTTCCCTCCGCTACCTGGAACGGTAAAGAGTGATTGGGATAGAGGTGAGTGGTACACTGACATGGCCAGTCTACTTGCCCAAAGTAGCAACAGCTTTACTGAAGTGGATGGACTATTGCTGGTAGCTAAACGATCGAATAAGCAATCAGTTGACCAAGTGCTTCACACCGTCATTTAGGGGGGAATCCAGTGTCACCTGAACGGATGCGATCGGTGATTTTTGCAACCATGAACAACAAATGACACTGGACAGCTGCAGCGCACGAAAAATCGTAAGCTGAATGTGCGAACACAAGACAGGATGTAAAATAATGATCAGCGAATATTGGATGACTGGAAATGACTAGCCACCGCCAACACGAAGCAATAAATAGTTGAACCGAATAGTATGTCGCGTGAACGGTAAGCTTCGATGTATGCGAGGAATAATCAGTTCCGCGACAACATTGAACCAGAAAGCGCACGTTTCATCACAAACCAGCCTATGAATGCATTCATTCTTTTCAGGTCGCCTATTCGACCACTACCGGCACCCTGAAAAGAGTGTGTTGACAATACTGAGCTTAGAATACTATGCTCAATTGGAAAACCAATAAATTTCTCAAGCTTATGATCCATATACAACAAAGAAACAAAAAATGATTGTGCTATCTATGGAACTTGATAAACATTATCCCAACAGTGGAATAAAACTCCGACGAAATACTGGAGCAGGATAAAATTTAGTGTAATTGGATATCGAAGATTGAGGATTAGGAAAATCATTGTTAACTCCGCGCTTACTTAAACTAGCTTAGAAGTGAAAGAAAATGATTATGTCACATCTGGCAAAAGCCTTCACAGGACTTGAAGAAATCTAACGAGAAAATTGCGAAGCCGTGCTAGCCGAGCGGGACAATTGCGCGGAGGTTAACGAACGGCATCCTATTAATTGCGGTGGTACAAATGCATGCGCGTGTTTGACCTTCATAGACGATGCACACGTGTTTGATCACAAACAAATAGCTTTGCGCGCCTCTTCGAGAACACTGAGGAGTGACACACAAAAAAAGCAGAGAGTGAAGGTGAGTTAATGTGACCGTGCTCACGGTCACGAGCAGATGAAGTGGCCAGAGACGGAAAGAATGCGATGGGAACAGGCCGATAGACTTTTTTTATGGATACGAGGTCGCCGATTCCGAAGTTTATTCATTAGTCATTTTGGAATGAATAACGACAGTCGATAATCAAAAAGTGCAAATTAATCACTTCTTTGTAACAACAAATTTCCATGAATAGACTTCATATGGTACGAAATATGCCACACTGGTCTAGCATTCGTCTGTCGCATCGGGCTTTGTAGCAGTGCGGTTTATGTGCCGTGGTGGCAGAAACCAGTTGGAAATCAATAGCCGGCGCGTCAAACAGATCAGAGGAAAGCAGTACGCAGATTGAACAGGGTATTTGCTACTCGGCTTCTGGGCATATGTCAAACACTCCCATCGGTAACACAGAAACCCACGTTAACGAACCGGTGATGACGTTGATCTATAGATTTACCCGTAGTTCAAGACCCTTGTGTAAACGTTGAGGAGCTGTGCGCTAAAGTTCAACAATGATGCAGCAGTTGTCACTTTCTTCGGGTGGAACGGTTTGAACAAAGTTGTACGTGTAATTCATCAACGCATTGTGTATACTAACTAAATAAGTTCACTTTCTCTGAACCCCAACCCGAGTTCGAGAAGAAAACCCATTCCCCATCCACTCTACACACATATAATAATATGGAGTAAATGATCAAGTTCGCTTCGACGTATTTCGTTACACGACGACGGTGATCATCAGAATTAGCAGTGCAACAGAATCATGAAGACGGCGTGACTGAGAAATTGACCAGAGCAAGGGGTATTCAAATTATTTCATTCACGTTTAGTGTGCATGAAAGAAACACTATCGAATGAGGTGCTTGCTCAAACACTGAGCCCAAATTGGATCAGAATAAGCCAAAATAATTGCTGGAGAGTTTTCTCTACCCCAGGGAGTTTTCACCAACCAGCTGATCCATTAGAAGTACAGAGAGGAAATTGAGAAACGAGGAAGAGTAAGGAGAAATCAATACATAAAACCCGGAAACAGATCGGATAGACTAAAATGTGAGTATTCAAGGCCTGGTGATAGAGCTAAGGAATGCTCGAAAGGAATGGGCAAACCAGGAAAATGTAAGCAGGGTTAAATAAAACTCCTGAGAGAAAACAAGGGAGTATAGCCGCAAGCAAAATGTTAGGTGTATGTGTCCAAGGGAGAAACGGAAACCGATTTGGCATGCGGGGATAAGTATTAAAGCCATGAGCAACATAAATCACTGCTTGCCACATCGAATAATGACCTACCGGAGGACACCGTTCCCCTTCTTCATCGTCCCAATATGTATTCTCGTCACTGAAGCAGGTACATGGAAGGTGAAGAGGGGTTCAGTTAAGATGGATCGATTGAGATTAATAATCCGAATGAAGTCAAATGGGTCAACATTTGAAAAAAAATAATCATAGGGTTATCACTGCGGTGATCGAATGATTTGACGCAGATCGGCCATCCATGTCTGAACATCGAATGCACCGCAGAGCCTTCTGTTGTCACAACAAATTCATTTTCCGTTTGGTAATCCAGCAAGATAAATTCTAAAATTATACTACCTAAAGCAGGTAAAGATAGACGAACTTTCCGCTCACCCAATGGATGCTCGTTTTGACCGTTACTGTAAGTTTAAGGTCAACAGAGCTGTGCGCTACTGGGAGTATCGTCAGGTAGTGGATAGAAAAATGCTCACTTAGGTGGTCAACCGTGAACGCGTAGGTTGTGCGTCACTGGTCGCCATCGCTGAGTTGCGACAAAGAAACACGAATAAAAATGATGCAAGTAATGTGATATGAGTGTGTGTGCTATTTTGATCCTGTCGAAATTACAGGTCGTTAGAGCAATGGCACAGACAACATTTGGCTGTGCAAAAATCAATGTAAATCCTGGTGTGGCACTGGGCACACTACTTTGCATCATGTAGCCAATGTTCATCCCAGATTTATCGACGACTCCTTCAAACGGGAATAAACAATTTTGTGTACATCATTTAAGTGAACACAAATCTTTTAAGCTAACTCGTAACCAAGCTGGTGAGTATGGGGATTTCAGTGAAAGTTCTCCGATATTGGATGCTGTGGTTCGTTTGAAAGCTCACCTAATTTTACAAATCATCCGTTTTCGATTAGTCGACAGAGGCAGAAATATAGAAAAACCAGTTGCGAACCATATGGCATGTACATGTGTTCAGGTGGAAAACAACAAGGATAATGCAACATACACACACACACACACGCACACACGTGTATGTGAGAGAATTGGTGAACAGCACTGAATATTCGGGAACCAATGAACGAGTCAAGATATGTGGAACTACGAGTAAAAAAACAATGCCCGCCAAGGTTCTCAGCAGACTGGATGGAATCAGCATTACACGAACGGTACATTCACAAAATAACCGATATGAAACATAACTCATCCTATTGATTTGTGACACGAAATTGGGTGTTGAATATTGGGAAAAAACGTGACCCGGCAAACGCAGAGAAGGGCGATCAACAGATACAGTGAATTCCCGTCAGAATGATAGACAAACTGAGTTGAAACAGGTGACAACAATCGAGCCAAAACACGAAACAACAAAAATCGGCACAGCCCAAGGACCGGGACAAATGAGGGGAAATTAGGGGGTGAGGTGATAGAGAACATACTTTTTCAACATTGCTTGAAGCCTCCGCTCTTCTTCCTCTTGCTCGGCCAACAATTGTGCCACTCGACTGTTGGATGGATCGTGTTCGCGGGCCAGGACGAAACTGATAGACAGACAGAAAAATAAGGCAGACGTCGAGTATGTGAACAATAGAAAGATGAGCAAACGGGAAAGGAAACGACATAAAGAAAACCGCTACTGGGTAAAAAAGCACGTCGTCACGTCTTTAACTAAAAGTACGTGTGTTAGAAACTGGAAAAAGTTACCGTCGACATATATCCAATATCGCCTACTTCACTGACCAGGATCAACAGACACACACACACACACACATGCACACTTCAATATTGTACTGTCTTCTATTCAACGGAAATGAACCGGAAGCATTTCGGTTGAGTAGAAAATAGAAGAGTATATTATTTTCGCTTTCAACCAAATTCTAGATGAACAAAAATGCAAATCCAAGCGTTCAGTCATCCACGATGTGACTCATACATTTGTCGATGGAGCGCCTGGATATCAAAAAAGAGTTATACCATTTGAAATCTACATACAATCTCTCCCAGGTCGTGGAATTCAGGACTGCTATGGTCCCCGAAACACGTGGACAGTGTCTCGAAGAGAACGTCCTGTGGTATAAAATAGAAAAAATTGTTCTACCAGGGGAACACAAAACAAAAATAAGAAATAGGTTGTGATACAGATCTTGAGGAAAACCAAAAACAATGAGATTATGGGAGCGAAAATGTTACTGTCACAAAAACACTGTTGACAGATTTAGGCGATTGACAGTCACAGACAGCGAGCATGACAGGAACAGGCGCACGCGCGCCTACACGTAAGAAATCGGAACGCAATGGGAGCACCAGTTGTCAAAATGAGAGAACATGAGGAGTGGCACTGGAATTTACTCAAGCTATCTAGAAGTGTGCTAACGTTATTTCATGCAGAAGACGAACAATCTAAGGGGAAGAAAAAAGTAAGTCACATGTGGAAAAAGCTGCGCATCAGATATGCGGTCCGTTGGGCCACAAATAATCAAGCTTCAGCAGACGACAAATTTCGTCGTGTACAAATATACCCATACGCACGGGTGCGCACAGCATATCACCGCGTGAGTTATGTACTATTCTCCAGACCAGTTGTTAGGCACGTGACTGCTCATCTTCAACAATAAGTGAGGATGGTATGAAATAATAAAGCTAATGCGGTCTATATAGATCAACAAGTGACAATCATGCATCTACCGGTTGGAGCCTAAAAAGTTCACACGCATCTTCAGTAGTTAGTTAAACCTCTTGTTACAGTGATCAAGTAGCGTGCCACGCAGGGCAATGCTGAAAAATGAGTTAAAATCAGATGACAATCGGAAAATGGGAACTTTGAGTGAACTAAGGTTGCAAAAAATGAGATGCACGAATGCAATTGTTTACGACACTCAGCTATATCAGTTAGTGTCTCCACCACTGATTACAATGATCCCGAGGACTCCATCAAGAGAGCATAACATAAAGTACATGACCGAGTCCCCTGGTTGGGTTCTCATCCCCTTGTCGCAGGTCTTATTTTGATTGTCCTTGGGTTTGGCATACATAACACATGTCCCAACCAAGGTATTCTACAGAGGTCGGCCACTTGCTCTAGCGGACGACCACGAATAGTTAAAACTTTACACCTAACCTCAGCATTGCTTGTCCGGTTGCCCCACCTGATTCGTACAATGCTACGTAGACAGCGGTGTTCAAACAACAACAGTCTATGTTTATCTTGTTTTCTTATTGATTAAATTTCTACGCCGCAAAGCAGAACTACCCGAACTGCCGCAGCATACAATGGACCCTTCACTGACAGCCGAATATCGCGGTGGTGCAACAGACGTCTCAAGTTAGCAAATGCTAATCGAGCCTTGTATGCGAGCTGACACTTCATCCGTGACGCATCCACCGAGTAAAACATAGTTGCCTAAGTAGCAAAACGTGTCCACTTGTTCTCTTACTTCTCAGTTAAAGGGAAGTTGGCAGATGGATTTATCCAGTCTCGTAGCAACACTTTACACTTTGGAGGTGCAAAACGTATACCGACTTTTTTTATTACACACCTAGGTGTGATGAACAGCAAACGGGGCGAGGACCTGCTGTTCAGTGATTGAAATCGGCAACGTAAGCCCCGGGACTTGGAGTGGCGAACCACATCAGGCCCCGATAAGTTAGTCATGGTATTGAACCGGACGACAGCAGAGCTGCCTACCACCAAAGTCCGGTGGCGGTGGCTAC